TGTGAAGAAGGGAACAGAATGAAGTTTCCGAGCTCACTCTCTTAACTTAAAATCCTATCGACCACTTGAATTATTTTACCACTAACACAGTCTTAATTTCTCACAGGTGAGAGGAAACAAAAACCAAAGTGGACAGGCTCTTGGCCCAGAAAGGTTTTTGGGGGTTTTTTTGTAAATAAAGGCAGACTCTTTATTTAAAATCATCACTCACCCTACCCTAATCTAGCCCTCCCATTGTTAATGGAAGAATCTAGCTCTTTAATTTGCAGTAACTTTGAACAGGAATTCTTAAGGGGAGGGGAGTGAGCTACCCACCCCCCACTGTTAGCAATGTTTGGAAGCATTTTGGGGTGTCACAACTGAGAGGGGAGGGATGTGCTGACATCTGGCGGCCGGGGCCATGGGTCCTGCTGAGGTTCTGTAAGGCACAGGGCAGCCCCGGCTCAGGGAACCCTGTGGTGAAGTTAAGAGAGCCTGTCCCCAGGGTACTTAAGAATACCGCATCCTTGTCTTCAAAGATCTGTGTAACTGCAGAGCACACACCAAGAGCAGTTTGGCAGAGCAGCAAACAATCTCCGCAGTAGGGTCACACTTTTAGTTTTTCTGGTGAGATAGAAATATTGTGTGGTTTCAACCTCCCAGTCTTTGGCCTCTCCACTCCTTCACCACTAGGCGCGCTGGGCTACAGGAAGACCAATGTCTGGGTGGCCCGGGACAGCAGTCCCAGCGGTCCCTGGACAGACAGCTTGGCCCAGAAAGTTAACAAGAGGATGCAGTAAAGCCAGGCACCACAGCCCAGTGCCCTGGTGGCCAGCCTCTCCTGTCCCGAGGGCGGGAACACTGCAGGTGAGGCAGCTCCGGCACGTGGGCACCCTTGATGCAGCCTGCCGCGCCCGGGTACTTCCCCTAGACTTACCCCGGAAGGTCACAGGCTCAGGTAGAAGCTCCACTTGCAGCTTCAGTGGTCCTAGCAGCTATTCTACTAAAACTAGGAGGGTACAGAATAATACGACTTTCACAATGACTTGATTCCTTAACAAATGTTACTGTCATTAGGAGGAATAATGATAACTAGCTCAATCTGTTTACGCCAAACACTGCTACTCAAACACTGCAGCTGCTCTCATTCAGACACCATGAAGTTTCATGCCCGGTTCCCACAGGGCCAGGGAGCTCTCCAGCTCTGCCGCGCAGAGCCAGCAGCACAGCTCCGCTCCCGGAAGCAAAGGGAGGAGGGCTTCTGCTCAAGCAGGGGGCCTGGAGAGCAGGACTGTGGCCAGGCATCGAGAGGAGAGGGCGTGTTCTGTGTGTGCAAGAGGAAACCAGCTACAAAGGGCAGGGCGACTGGTCACTCGGAGCAGCCACTGCCTTCCGTGTCCAGGACACACAGCAGGCATCTGCATTGCTGAGGTCTGCCCATCACTCGGATGTCTGTGGAAGTGGGGAAGACCGCAGCAGGGAGCCAGGGAATGTGCTGTACCGTCAGGGCCACAGGTCGGGGAGGAGGGCAGCGTGGGGCACCCTGGAGAACCCAGCCCAAGGGCTTCCTCATGCAGGAGGTCCAGGTAAAGGGCTCACCGAAGACGATGTCTGAGTTCTGGCCTCAGTTTCCCGAGCTGGGACAAAGGCTCCCTTCTGGCCAGCAGTCCCTGGACAGTGTGACCTCCTTTGAGGCCTGAGATACCCTGCCCACCTTCTGCCACCTCTCTGCTGTCTGTTCTTCCTGTACCTAACTCGCTGACGATCTCCTTCCTGTTCTCTTCTGGTGCCATAATGGGCCCACAGCATATTATCACGCCTGCCACACAGTCAATACTAACAGAACCCTTCACAAACATTTACCAAGGTGACCAGCACCGTGCTAGATGACGAAAACAACAACAGATTTGCTTTTTCATTAAGAAAAATAGAAACTCAAAGTAAAATATTGGTAATTTGATGTTCTTTTATCCTAATCATTCCTATTCTTAAAATAAGTGACTTTACACAATAAATTGCCCTCTTTAGAACACTGCTTCAATAATCTAAAAATATTAAAGCATAAAATATAAAATCTTTAAGAAATAATACTAGTAGGTTGTAATGTAAAAGTTACCTGATCATATTCTTGTTGTTAATGCACAATTTGTGGGAAGTAATTAGGTTCTAAAACGTAGTAAAATACTATCTAGCAGACATCACGTCTTCACTATCTTCTCAGAGTGCACACATTTCTCCCAGTCAGAAAAATCATGATTCCCTAAAACCCTTCTGTCCACATCATACCGAATATTCACAACATAACAGAGCATTAACTCGCCATGTATCATCTGGTCTCGGACTAATTTAGCAGCTTAATTCAAGTCAAGAGGTGATCGAATTCCAACTGCTAATCAAGTTCATTTCACCAAAGCCATCAGTGAAATTGAGACTCACGCTTCAATCCCGCGCCTACTATGACAGAACACGTCCACTTAGTTCTGGCTGAAGAATGAGTCTCTCTGTTACCCTGGTACTCCGGGCCCATCTTATTAAAAGCCACAGCGGAAAACCTTATTCCTGGTATGATCTGACCAGTTACTGCCATGATTGTTATGACGTCACTCAACACCCACAGCAACGCCATCAGCTGTAGAAAACCAGGGTTAAAGCGTGAAATCATGAACAAATGACATTCCTTTAGCTCACGAATGTGTTTCTTATAACAGTCTTTCAGCACATTTTAAGTACATTCTACCCTAAAATGTAAAGAGGAATATTTAGTATAAGCAGATGTCAGTAAACACTCAAAATATTAACATATCATGATAGCTTTCCAAAGCCAAAGGGAAATACATTCCTCCTCCACCCAACTTAGAAACTAGAATACATTTTGAACACGTGGTTATTTCAAATGCACCCATTCACATGCTGTGTTCTGTTTACAATCAGACTTCTAACTATACTCACCCCCTCTCCAAAATAGGAGAGAGATGTGATCTTTATATGGAAAAATAAGAAAAGACTGTTTAGTTTCACAACATGGTTACGCATAAAGATGAAAAACTGTGGAGAAAGCCAAAACAAAACTAAATCCTGAGACAGAGGGCAGAAGTTCAGCGTTTTCCAAACCACTTACTATTCCTATTCTTCAATGCTACTTCCTTTAAGAGAAAAAAGTTCTCTAATGTTTCAGAAAGCTAGTTCTATATTACCTACCTCTGGTTTTCATTTTAGTCTATCCACATGCATTAAGAAACAAACCCATTCCAAGATAATTAGAATTAACCCACATACTGACAAATTAATTTTAACATCAGAAATGATTTATTTATCACTGTCTTCACACTGTCCTCAGGACCAAAAGGATTGCTGATAAATTCGAAGGACTTATTCTCTTTATTCTCAGGTAAGGCCTAAATCTGCTCAAAATAGTCAAAAGAAATATTAACAGTATTTCAAAACTATAATTTTTCTTCAAATTCTCAGAAAAAAACTCTATAAGTCGACAGAAAGGTCACGATCTTGACTTTTACTATCTTCTCATTTCTTAGAAACCATGCAAGTTGTTCAATTAAAGTATAACTTTTAAACTAATTGTAAATAATTTCGAGTATTTGTTTACTCGAGATGAGATTAAAGAAGCTAAACAAATACACCAGTTACTGCGAAAATAATCCTTTCTCAGCATATAGCTGAAAAAATTTTATTGGAAAGGCATGTCCTGATTTACCAGACATTTATCACTGCCAAAGGTAAGATAAAATACGCTTTTGCAAAGACACACTGTCCAAATTCCTTACATTTGGGTAATTTATGGTGTCTTCTTGCACTCTAATCTATGCCAGAACAAGGGTAGAGACTGCAACACAGCATCAAAGCGCTTCAGTTACTTAACTTCTAAACACGGAGAAACAATGGGAGCATGTGATACGCGTGCAATACGCGCTGTCACCACCCATCAGGTCTGAGGGCTGCAGACCGCAAAGACGGCTCCGGGTGCGGACGAGCGGGCGCACTCTGCGGCCCGGGAAAAGTCTCCCGGGCTGAGGTCAGATGGCAGAGCTGGTGGTTTCCAGCAGGCAGCACAGCCTTAAACTGTCTCCTCCTCTCGGAACAAATAATGCAAACCAAGTCTACTGCTCCTCATGAAACTCGCGCCCACATTCAATGCCACCAGCTGCAGCAGTGAGCAACAGCACCTAAACCCGAGAGAGACCTAACCCTAAGTCTGATTTTAAAGCGCACCCTGTCCCCTAAGCTCCGGATCACACGCGCCCCGCTGGCCAGAGCCGCCAGATCTGAGTTTCTCGGGTGTCTCCGCAGCAGGAGCCCAGCGCCCGGTGCCGTCCGGTCCCGCAGGTCGGCCCGGGCGGAGCCGGCGGCCGGGCCAGGGGGCGCAGGGAGCGCAGGCGGCTCGGGTCCGGTTCGGAGCCGCCAGGCCGCTGTCCCCGCGGCCCAGCGCAGCCCCGGCCTCGGCACCGGCGACGCGGCGCGGATCGCGCGCTCTGCGGGCCGGAGGCCGGGCGAGGTCCCAGAGAGGCCGCCGTGCTTACCCGGCGCGGGCCCGCGCGGCGCCTCGGCCGGCGAGCGGCCCCACATCGCGGTGCAGGCTGCGCGGGCTCCGGCCTCCTCGCGCGGCGCAGCTCAGCGGCGGGCGGGCAACGCGGGGCCTGGGGTGGCCGCAGAGCGGGCGGCGGCCATGGTGGGCGGCGGCGGCTGCGCGACGGGCCGGGCCGGGTCGGGACGGCGACGAGGGCCGGCGACGAGGGCCGGCGCAGCACAGCCAGCTGCCGCTCCCGGCGAGGTCTCAGCCCAGACGTCCGCCGCCCGCTCCGCCCGCGGCTCGGGGCGGGGCTGGGGGAGGGGCGGAGCGGGGGCGGGGCCTGGACGGGATGTGCGTGGACCAGCCTCCTCGTGTGTGGGCGGGGTCCTGGGCGGGGCCTGAAGCTGGGCGGGGCCTGCGGCCCGGTCTCCCGGGCCTGGTGCTCGAGCCGGCCCCGCCTGGCCGCCCCGCCCTGGGCGGCTCCTGGCCTGGGACAGCCTCGGGGTGAGCGCAGACCAGTTCCTGCACCCCGCGGCCCGGGAGCAGACCCTGAGCCAGGCGGGCTGCGGGCCCCCATCCCGGTCGCCGGGGAGGAGCGGACGGGGCTCGGCGGGGCCCGGAGCCCGGAGGAGCAGCCCGGGCCAGGCCGGGGCGGAGACAACCGGCCCTCTGGCCGCAGCTGCCGATCCCACTGCGAGGACAGAGGTTTTTAAATCTTCACCTTGGAAATGCGAGCTTTCCAAAACAGACAGCTCGGACACAGCGGTTCCTTTAGAGAGTGCTGGTCCGGGGCGGGGACGCAGACGAGGGCCGGTGCGGGAGGCTGGATCAGTCGGGGACCAGAACCCAGCCTGTCCTCGGTGCACCGAACCCAAACTGGACCCAGGTCCCGCCCTCAGTCTCAGAACCCAATGAAGTTTGCTGACCAAGGCCTCAGTTTGTATTTTTTCCTAAAGACACTATAATTGGGAAATTCTGCTTAAGACATTTAGAAGTAAGTTACATTTAAGGATATATTCTATCACTGCATCTGTAGTGTAATTTATCTGACTGCAGCTGTACATTTAGTCTCCCTCTGGTAAACCTTCAGTTATTTCTCCACTTCATGGGCTATCACCCAGGACCAACTGTTTCTGATGAGAGAAAGCGACAAACAGGAACAGAGGATACGGTTGGTTCCTTTTTCTCATTGAACTATGTTAGCTCAATTAATATGACAAGATACATTTAATTAAAAAAATAACTAAAGGGCCGGGGGTTTAGCTCAGTGGTTCTGCCGCTTGCCTCTTAAGCGCAAGGACCCAAGTTCGATCCCTGGGACCAAAAACAAAAAAAAAACCTAAAAATTCCAAAAAGAGAACTATCTGAGGCTATACAACTATATCCAAGTATACATCTTTCCATGATTTATAGTTACCATAGTATCATATTAAGTACAGCATTTAGTAATTGCTAAACTTTTTTGATTCAGTCTAAGAAATGTATGAAATAGTGCAGATGTGAATTGGTCCTTTGTGAGTTTAAAATCCCTTGTTATTTCAAGTCTCTTACGGTTTCCTCTGGACTCTTAACAGTGTTAGAGAACATCATTTGTCCAGTCTATCTGCTTTTATGAATGCGGTGGGCATGCCACCTCGAACGACAAGTACATGCGAAGCTGAGACTAGGTAAAATAGTTCCATGCCCATTACAGAGTGAAAGCAAAGACTGAAAACATGAGCAGTTGACACCAAAGGTGAAATTTTTGTGTTCCTACTAATTAAACTTGGGAGGAGAGCGAGCTAATGTGATTAAAGTCCTTGAAATAGTAGGCAAGAATACAGTGGAGATGGAACAACCTTAGCTGCCCATTTCTTCCGGTCACAGGCATTCCAAACTGAGCCTCTTCCACAGTTCACGTGTGATGCACACATGGGTGACCTGCTGTCCTCAGAGTTTTATGATTAATGTATCCAAGCATGAGGCAGAGCCTCAGGACAGCTAACGATGCCAGGCCTGGTGTTGTAAACAGCGTGTGTGTTTGTTGAGATGATATTTTAAGATCACGGGCCAAATCTTATAAGCAGGGAGTTATTGCTGAACTTCAGCAAATGTCAGTCCTAGTAATGTTCCGCTGAGCAGAGGCAACACAGCAAGCATGAAGACAGGGACTGTGTGTATAACAGCTCCAGGAGTGCAGATGTGGCTGCTGGACTGAAATGATGTTAGGGGAGGGAACATTGTAAGGATGAAAACTAGAGCAAAAGAAGAAAATAGTTCACAAAACACCATATTTAATAAAAAATTATAGGAAACTCTTCATTTTTAATGTTGTACTCCAGAAAAGACATTTTGAAATAAAAAATGTTGCATTCCTAAATCTTAAATTTGGGTGTAAATCTCTGGTCTGCTTAAGCTATCTTGTATATATTTTCTGATCCAAGTTTATCAAATTGGGCAAACCACTATCACAGCTGAAGAGGGATATAACACTGTATAAAGATGATATTTTTAAAATGCACAAATATTGGAAACCTCAAGCAATGTTTATATTTACAAAAATATAAAATATTAAACATACACAATATATAGGAAGATTTAACCAACCAATAATAATTGAAATAGTTCCAAGGAACAATTACCACTAGATAGAAAAAGATTTACAGATGAATTCTAAAACATTCCAACAAGTAGATAATGCTGGTGTATCAAGAACCACGATTTACAGTCTTTTCCAGGTCACAAAAATGACAGGTTACTTATCTTGTTGTGGGTTGTTCAAATCCCAAATAATCAATTCATAGGAAAATAAAACTAAGAACTTTTTTTTTGAAGACGGATTTGAGAATCTTAACTTATAGCAGAGAATATATAGCAAAGAGAATTCAACTACACAAGAGAGGACACATAGGTTACTTAATTTCCCTAGGCCTCAATTTTCTCATCTGTAATTTGGGATTGTAACAGTGACCACCTCATAGGATTGAGGATTAAATGAGTTAATGTTTATAAAACATATAGAACAACACAGTGCATTTTACATCCTGTAATGATGATGTAGACAAATTGACAACCAGAGATGAAACTGCTGTATTTCACCAAGTTAGTGTGGTCAGGTCAAGTTAGTGTAGATCATGTTTTATATGCACACATCAGAATGGAGTAAAGTACTGCTTGCTGCCTTTTCCTGACCCTTTTCGGCTTACTGATTGTTCATGATTTGTGTTGAAATACCTGTTGAGAAATAGCTGCCAAACTCCTGGGTCCAAGTTAATATCAGCCTTTATTCTAGGCAGGTAATCCCTGAACTCCAGTGGGAAGTTTGCTTAGCTACAGGGTGCGGTGTCCTGCCCAGCATCAGCAGCACGGAGGCAGGAAGACAGGAGACTGGCTAGCCACAAAGGCCAGGACTTCTCATCTCAAGTCTGACTCCCAGAAGCCACAGAAAATGAAACTCCCCCCAAACCCCGGTCTTTGCCTCCAGAGTTGGGCCGCAGTGACCAGTGGTCAGCAGGCAAGGTACAGAGCCCTGAGCGGCCCTGGGTGGGGAGTGGGTAGGAGGGGAACTCAGCTACCGATTGTCTCCCGTGGAACCGTCCGTGTTTCCTGCAACTGCTTGGTCAGTGGACGATCTTGAACTTTCCTGAGGTCAGGAAAGCAGGTCACATCTCCTTACTGATCTGTGCTGGAGGGTAAGGGCTGTTTAATAACTGACGATCTCCAAAAATGTTCTCAGGAAAAACGGCTACCAATCGAGTACACCTATTAGTAGTTGTTGGAGAAAAAGAACCTCCCAACATAGGCTTTTGATGATCTGAGACTTCTCAGTAAGCCAGTTGTGTAGCTTACCCATCCTTGGAACGCTGTGCTGAACGATTAGCATTGGCTCCATCTTGCAGATGGGGAGAGGAGATGCAGAGCCATTAGTCAGCCAGACAGAAAGCAAGGAGCTGGAACTTAGATCTGATTCCAAAGCCATGCTTTTCCACCATGCTTTTCAACGTGTTAAATTAAAAAATGTAGCACTTTTCTTCACATGCCGCACGAGAAGGAAGTTACTGGTTCTGTGATTCCTGTGTGGAGTCCAGGGTTCAGCTGAGATTGGAAACGGACCTTACTCTGGCCTGCTGATTTTCTCTGGCTGCAGCCAGCACAGTGAGCACGGGGCAGGAGAGGGCGGTGGGAGAACTGGACGCTCAGGAGAGGGCAAAAGGCAGGAGGACGCAGCAGCAAACGGTTGCCTGGTGGGGAGTGTGGAAGGACGCAGCACTGAGAGCAGAGGGGCAGCGTGGGAGAGGAGGAGGGAATGGGGAGCCCAGGCTCAGTCAGAGAACAAAGGGCGAGGGCAGGACGCTGGAAAGATGTGGCCTGGGGCGAGAAGGCCGGGTCGAAGCAAAGGTCTGCGGTGGACTGGAAGGAAGGACTTGCAGGCCAGCCTGGGAAGCCTCAGGCTTCCCATCAGGAAGGGCAGTCCCAGGTCTGGGGAGGAGTGCGTCACAGACGCCTCTGGCTACCGCCACCACAGGCCCTGCCCTGTCCCACATCCCGGTGACTGACACGGCGTGCTCAGGGCCTGGCCACTCTTCCAGTCACCTGGCTGTGTCCTTCCCTCCCTGGCTGCCTGAGGCCTTGTCAGGTCACCTTTCCTCTCAGCCCTGCCACCTTCCATGGAGTCACGTCCACTACACAGCTCGACACCCTACCCCATGCTGGCACCTGCTTCCTGCAGAACTCAACAGCCGGCCCATGCCAGGGACAGACAGAAGAAAGCTGGGCTGTCGTGTCTGTTTGAAGTAGGGTAACAGGGCTCCTGTGGCCTGGGATGAAAATGCTCCAGAGGGGACGGAACACTGAGGAGGGCGACTAGGGGGCAGCACCTGGGACTACAGCCTGAGGCCATGCCAGAGGACGGAGCCAGGCAGGAGTGCAGGCACAAAGGTTGGAGAGGACTCAGGACCCCTCCGTGCCCAGCACCCAGGAGCAAGAGGCTCTCGGTGCATGGCCTGGCCGGCCTGACCCTGGCCACAGTGGAGATCTGCTGCATGCCAGATGCTGCCCGGGGCCGGCGGCTGCAAATGAGCAAGACTCCGGAGTTCACTCCGGCTGCCAGGACTTTCAATCCAAGTCACTGATTGGTGACAATTGCACTGCTCAAATCATTTTACATCACTAAGACAGCGTTCGTGTAGGCAGTAAAAGAGATTCTGTTTCCATATGTTAACTTTGGTAAGTTTTCTTTCCCCAGAATTTCCAGCTCATTGTCCACCTGCTGAGGAAATGGAGGGATCTCCGGGTGGTAGACTTAATGTCACTGAAACACGCCTCAAGGATCCCAGCTAATTGGAGACCAGATCCTTTTAGGAAGATACGAATGGAACTCTGAAATTTAAACCAGTATTACAATGATATAGGGGAAAGAGATATAAACCTGCTAGATATCCAAAGCGCAAGTTTGTGTTCTCTAAAATCAAAGAATGAATTCTAGGAACAACGGCGGGTAAGAGTAGGAAAAATTTATTGAGAGAAAGATAGCTTCTGCCTAAGAGAGACAGAAGGGGGACCGGGAAGTGGGTTGCCCAGGGACCCCGTTTCCTAGGGGGTTTATGGAGCAAAGCCACGAGCTGAGGCGGGTTCAAGGTGGGACAAAATTATAGTCAACTAGGCAGATTACAAATACAATCGTTTAGGGAATATTGATCCAGTGGGGAATCACAGGCGGGTATGAGGTGGGGCAAAACTATGATCAACCAATAAGATTACAAGAATAGTTGCTTAGGTAATATTGATTAAATGGGGAGCCAGTGGGGAAGCAAGTCACATGGTAAGCGTACAAGGACGGAGCAAGGATTCTCAGTAAGGGATGGGTTAAGGTCTTGGTCCTACACCCAGGGAATTGATACCTATGTAGAATATCAATCACTGCTATCCAGCCCTAGACAAAGTACAGGAATGTAGTAGTTTGTTTTTATAATGCTAACCTCCAGTGAAAGTGTCTCCATTGTCCTTTTTTTTTTTGAGATAGGGTTTCACTATGTAGTTCAGGCTGGCCTTGAACTCACAGCGATCCTCCTGCCTAAGCCTCCAAAGTGCTGGGATTACAGGTGTGTGCCACCATGCCTGGCTCCATTGTCCTTCATATTGACTCCTGGAGGGCCAACCCTGTCTAACTGCCTACAAGATATCTAATTAACTTACCTATCTACAATATTAATACATTCAGAAAACCAAATATACAAATCTAGCTACAGTTATAAGGTTCATGAGGCAAGTAATTTTTTCCTTTTCTTCCCTGATTATAAAAACAATTCAGTACATATCAAAATAGAATTACAGTATAGAAAATACTAATTATTCATCTGGCAATGATATGTGGAGAACTGAGGCAGGGTAGGAAAATTAAAACTAGAGACAAGTATAAAAGATTAGCCCCTCACTCCCGCCCTTGACAGCGGTCTTATTTTCTGTTGAGGAGACAGGCACGCACATCCATGCGGCCAGGTCTGTGAGCTCAATGGAACTGAGATTCCCCTCAAAAAAGACAATTCACTTCAGGCCACAGTCCTCAGTCTCTCCTCTATGGGTAACTTAATTACTCTGCTTCGACCAACAAGATACTGATTGAAGAAGTCACAGGCTGACATGAATTCAGTCTGCAAAATCTGGTGTATGTACTTAAAAATAAGTAAACAAATCAATTTTTAAAATATCACTTTAAAACACAGTATAATCATTATGACATAGCAATGATAGTAAATATATGATAAATAAGAAAGTGGGGGAAAGTAACATCTAAATCTACATTTAATGAGTATGTTTAGGAAATTAATAAATATAAAATTGACAGTTATAAATTCACTTGTATCTTAAAATTTTAACATAAGGCTGTCTCAAACATTTTTTGTTTGCTTCTTTTATGCAACAGGGTATTGATACATAGTTCAGATATGACTTTGGCCTCCTGTGTAGCTCAGGCTAGTTTAAACTCAAGATTATCCTGTTTTAGCCCCCTGAGTGCTGGGATTACAGTCATGCACTAACCTGCCTATCGCCCATCACCAAATACTTTTTTTTTTGCACCCCTGGGGATTGAACACAGGGCCTTTGCACTGAGCTACATCCCTAGCCCTTTCTATTTATTTATTTTTATTTTGAGATGAGGTCTTGCTGAGTTGCTAAGTTTCTCCGGCTGGACTCGGGCTTCAGATTCTCCTGCCTCTGCCTCCCGGGGCACAGGGATTACAAGCAGTCACCACCACACCCAAATATCGTCACCACCAGCTTCCAAATGTAGTTTTAGGGTTTGTTTGTTTGGTACCGAGGATCGAACTCTTGGGACCTTGCGCTTGCAAGGCAGGCGGTGGAATCACTGAGCTAAATTTCTGGCTCCAAATATAGTTTTAAAGATGTGTTTTAGAAAAAAAAAATGTGAACTCCCTTACATTGGACGTATCTCAACTAAATTAAAGTTGGCCTTTTTTTTAACCTCTACTTTCAGCCATAGGCAAAGTATTTCTTAAACATCTCTAATATTTTGTAATGTTATGTTTGGGGAATCTGTTAACTTACTCCCTAAAACTGAGTTCAAAAAGATTAACATCTCACAGATTTTTTTTTAAACAACTGTAGAAGATTTAAAAACTGTAGAAGACTTTAAAAAGACTTAAAAGGGCAGGATGGTGCACACCTGTAATCTGAGAGCCTGAGGCAAGAGGACTGCAAGTCAGAGTCCAGCCTAAGCAACTTAGTGACTTAGTGATACTCTGTCTCAAAATAAAAATTAAAAAAAAATAAAAACCTAGTAGAATAATCAATCCTCGCATGCGTTGTAGTAAGCAAGACTAGTTTTTTAATGCTCAGTTGGCCTAGAGTCCCTGGTTCCTGAGCTGCCCACTGGAAGCACAGTGGAGCCCTGAACATGGAGTGGACCTGGTACCCTAAGTATGCACAGGGAATGTGGATGGACTAACAGTGGACACAGTGTCCAACATTAACTCACGCTCACACACCCAGTGCTCACGCTTGTACGGAAGATGACACAATCAGAGACATCAAGGAAAAAGAAAAGGAAAGAAGTCACCAAAGACCCTTCTACGTCTGTGTTGCCAATTTAGCCAACTTTTCCCCTTGCACATAATCTCCTTTCACCTCCATGACAGTGACGCCGACGCTGATGCGGGGCAGTCCCTAACTGAGGGAGGCTGAAGGACACCCGTTCTCCACGCTGTCATAGCTGTGGTCTCTGGTTTCAGCAGGGCCCACGGCGGGTGGGAACCCATGGAGCCTCAGCCAGCCCTGGGGAGGCGGAGTGGCAATGGAACGCCTGCTCTTGCTGTCCCTGGAAGGCCGGCCTGGTCTGGCCCCAGCCCAGGGCCTGAGTTTGAGGCTGGAACACTGACTCCCACTGCTCGCCCTGGAACAGCCCCGGATTTCCCTGGCCCCTTCCCCCTGCAGCCTAACTCCCTCAACTGTTTCCCACAAAAGTCAAGCACAGAAGAGCAACACTACATTTGCTTCAGTTTTGATGTGCTCTATCCCATTAAATTTTTACAAAGAATTGTCATCTTCCCACATGCCAGCTTGGAGAACAGATGGTGTAAATGTCTTGAAGGAAGAGTATAGTGAGCAGATGAGCATGTGTCCCCATGTCTCCAAGGCAGGGTGACTCACCCCAGGTGCCTCCCTCCCTGCGGGCATGAAGCCACACTAGGCACAGGGTTGGTTTTCTGCAGCCTTTCTGTCCAGGGTACCGTAGGTTTCTCACAGTGGCTGGGTTGTGTCCCGGCTCCTGCCTGCAAGTGTAACCTCTCTCAGAGCAAATCCAGCCTCTTAGGCTGGGAGATGACTTCCCTCCAGGGTGACCACCGGCCCCTAGACAAGGTGTCAGCTGAAGGAGACTGCAGAGGCAGCTGTGGTGAAGTCCTGTGCCTGGACCCCTTCTCAGGTCCTGGCAGAAAGCCCACCCGAGTGTCAAGCCAGGTGACCTGGCAGGTTGCCAAGTGAGGCGTGCTGTCCCTATGAGAACAGCTTCTGGGGCTGCAGCAAACCTGCACTGCCCTGCACGACACCCAGGTCCTCAGGGAGGTGGCCAGACTGCTCCCCACGGAAAGGACAAACACAGGCCCTGCGTGTGGGTTTGGGGGATTTCTACTGTGTGTCTCTTCCTCTCCCCGAAATGCTTCGGTGCATCTTAGTTTGGCTCTGGGTGACCAGGTGCCCACACGCAGATGTTCTCGGGGCGTTCTCCACCGCCATTGTCACCCTGCTGGGGACTTGGGACACGGTCAGTGACTGCTTGGGAACGCTCACCATGCAGCCTTGAGTCTGGTTCCTTAAATATGCTGAGGAGATTGTCATCATGTGAGAGGTGTCAAGACAGTCAACCGAGACATGAACATGGATGGCTGAGTTAGGTTACCATACACCTCAGCTCCATGTGTTCTCACAGTTTAATACTTGTATAAACAAAATTAGTATTTGTCCATGTGTTCTATTAATGCATGCAAGAGTAGATCATAATTTATATATTGTGCTTTGGAAAAACGAAAAATAAAGTATTCTAGGGCCAGAGATTTAGCTCAGTGGTTCCAGCACCTGCCTCGAAAGTGCAAGGTCCCGAGTTCGATCCCCAGTACCAAAATAAATAAATAAATCTAAAATATGATTTTTAATACATTCTGATAAGGTTTATTATTTTTTAATTAAATTTGTATAAAGCATATGATATTAATTTTACTACAAATAATGATTAATATCAAGAATCATTATGTGCTTATTTTAGTTAAAATGTTTAGGATTCATACATTAGTAAACTAAAATTTGGATACAGAAATTGTGCAACATCTTTACTTTGTTTTATGAAAAAGACAGAACGGGCCGGGGATTTAGCTCAGTGGTGCAGCACCTGCCTGGCAAGAGTGAAGCCCTGGGTTCGATTCCTAGTACAAAAAAGAAAAATGAAAAAAAAAGACCAAAAAGAAGCCCCTAAAAAATAAAAAAAATTTAAAAAAATAAAATAAAAAAGACAGAAAAGAGCCGGGGATGTAGCTCAGTGGCACCGCACCTGCCTCGCAAGCGCAAGGTCCTGAGTTCCATCCCCAGTACCCCCCGCCAAAAAAAACTTTAAAAAAAAGGCCGGGGATTTAGCTCAGTGGTGCCTGCTGCCTGCCTTGCAAGCGCAAGTTCCTGAGTTCCATCCCCTGGTACAAAAAAAAATCCTAAATCACTAACAATATAGATGTAATATATTATTTGATGACAACGTCTTTTTTTTTTTTTTTGGTACTGGGGTTCAAACTCGGGTCCTTGTGCTTGCACAGCAGGCAGCGAAACCACTGAGCTAAATCCCCGGCCCCAGATGTAATATATGGTATATATGGTAACATTATCTGTGAATGTAAGAGTATTTTAGTTTTATATAAACAATAAAACTTTTTGTAAGAATACTCAGGGAAAGTGAGGAGACAGGTACAGGCGAGAGGCCTGGCTCCGACCTAGTACCCTAGTGCAGTTACGGAGCCGGGAGCTGCATCTCGGGCTAGCTGCGGCTGGGCTGGCTGCGGCTCAGAATGGTGAGATGGCAGCAAAGGTACCGAGCCGGGTCCAGGCCCCGCTGCCCTCAGGTCCGCCTCAGATGGGACCTCTGAGAGCCCACAAGTTAACTCGATCACGTTTGAAAACTGCTCTGTGAGTTTAGAGCTCTCAGCTCTCTAAGGACAAGGCACAAATAGCTCACACAGGAAACCAAGCAAGGCTAAAAGGTTAACCTGAGCCTGGTGCGGAGAGTTCTACACACACTGACACATTTCCTCTTTGTGATGTGATAAAGAATGCCAGGAACTGTTAGGATCTTCACTTTCTAGATGAGGAAACTGAGGCATGGGGAGGTCTGGAGAGTCATGGCAGAGTAGAGTGCAAAAACAGGCTCCCTGACTCTAGAGTTTGAGCTATGCTATGGAAAAAGGTTCAACTTCATTAGTAAGCAAAGATTTAACAATTAAAATATCCGGAAATGGAGATGCAGTGAATGACAGACACCAAATCCCAGCTGTCTCTGTAGAGGAAGGGCTGGAATTATGCAAAGACTTCAAAATGTGCACTACTTTATTTTCATAAAACTAAGAAAAACATGGAAATTGGTTAAGATTTGAAAAGCCAGGACCAGCGGTTATATATTTTTCTCCTTACTTTTCTGAACACTTAAAATACAACACATTAAAAAATTAAAGAAGTGAGCTAATGGCATCCTGTTTTGTTTATATGGAAATTAAATAATGTAGGAAATAATTCTGGTGAAGGTTTGGAGAAACTGACATTCTCATATACATCTGGTGATAGAAATGGGTCCAACTCTCTTGGGAAGCAATCTGACAATAAGTGCCACTGAAAACTATTAAAAAATACTCTTTGGTTCAGTAATTTTCTTTTTGGGGTACTCTCCTAA